GCGGCGGCGGCGGCTGTGTCCCCACAGGGAGACACCTGCAGACAGTGACTGATCGCTCCAGTCCGCCTCCTCAACAGTATCTTAATTAAAGTTCTACGTGAGGAACTCGGTGTCACCGGGCTGTCTGTCGCCTACCCACAATTCAGTTTGGTGAACGACAGAACGAGGGCGGAGCTGATTCTGCTGCCTCACCACTGATTCTCATCCTCCTCCAGCTTTTTGCCCCCCATCTCCCCTGAGGTGAGCTCAGAGAGAGGGGTAAAAAAAAACAAACTTCTAATCTCTTTAAAAGGAACTTTTCTCCTCAGGATGTTTTCCTTCTTGGCTCCTCCTCTTATCTGCAGCCTGTCGGTCCAACTCTGTCGGAGTCGCTCTGCTCAGAGGCGTGAGGCTCCGGCTGTGGCAGCAGCGTAATCACTTGTTGCCACACACTGGAGGCAAACTCAGTCTGATTCTTGAACTATTTCCACGGTTCATGGATTTTCAAAGCATTCAAATGCCCGAGTGGACGGTGGTGGAACTGGAGATATTTACCCCCAGTGGTAACGGTGAGGAGAGAGGATTCAGAAAAGATGGAGTTTATTTTCTTCACAAAACCTCAATTTCAGAGCCAAGCTTTAGACTTTCTCTGGAAAATACACAGTTTTAATGAAGCAACACTGGACCAGATATATATACACATATAATATATTTACATATATAAATATAGACATATGTATAATAAGAGTATATATAGTAGATATAAACACATATATACATATATAAATATATATACATATATGTATAATAACAGTATATATATACACGCACATATATACTGTACATATATAAATATATGTGAATAATAACATATAGTATATATAGACACATATATTTACATATATAAATATATACATATATTATAATAAGAGTATATATAGTACATATAAACACATATATACATATATAAATATACAGTATACATATATGTATAATAGCAGTACATATACACGCACATATATACTGTACATATATAAATATATATGTGAATAATAAGAGTATATATACACACATATTTACATATACTGTATGAATATATACATATATGTATCATAATGGTATATGTATACACACACATACAAACATATATAAATATATACATATGTGAATAATAACAGTAACATACATACCTCTTCTTGTATCTGCTCTATTTTTTTAATATTTAGTCTTTCTTTTTTCAAAGTCACTTTCATTTCCACATGGATGGTGGCGCTGGTGAGCTCGTCCTGCAGACCTGGATGTCTGTTTCCGAACTGTTCCATTGTCTAATAACAGGAAAATAGCGCGGGTGTTTTAACACGGATCATCTTCAGTTAAACGGCAGTAAAAGTCACGCTGACGTGACATAAACATAAACGTCATTTTCATGTTCTCTCGTTACTCGGGACGAGCAGCTCGGCTGTTACCGCGGTGTGTTTTACGTCTTAAATGGCGAAGGAACATAAATTATTATTTCATATAAATAGTAAAAGTCATTCACAGTTTTATGTCACAACGCCCGGCAGGTGGAGACATCTGTGTCACGCTATCAAATCTTTATTCTATTCAAATCTCCCCCATGTTGTTTCATCGCCTGTCTTTCACCTATACGGCCACTTGGGGTCAGTATTTAGCCATGATTCTTCTGCCAGCAGGCTGTAGGTCTTTTCAAATGCACAGATAAATATTTGGGAGAGAAACGTCGTTAACGTCGCCTCTAAAACGTCAACATCAGTCAAACGCTGAGACGTACAATTACGACGAACAATTACTACAGTGTTCGCGTGTTAATCACGGTGGTCAAAGCGCTGTTGATGGAGGAGCCAATCAGAACGCAGCGCTAAGTCTTTGTTGTAAAGAACCCGCAATTAAAAAAATACAAAAACAACATGTGGCGCTATTGTGTTAAAAATATATAATTTTCAAAATAAAACATTTAAAAAAAAAACAAACCCGATACTTTAATTTTAAATAAATAATTATATTTTAAAAAATTGCACAGATTAAAGTGTGTATTAACAGTTATATTTTGGATGCCTATTTTAATAAAGATAATTTACAAAAATAAAATATACAATTTAGTTTTATTATAAAGAAAATGTTGAGTAAAGAAAGTTTGGTATCATTTTAGAGTTGTTTTTTTTTTTCTGTGTAGCTCAAAGAAAAAGCAGTTGTTATTTATTTGTAACCAAAGTTTGTCCATTTCATCATCTGGATTTGTTTATGTTTCACAATCTTATAAAGAATGGACTGAAGAAAAATATTATTCACTGCAACTGAAATACTGCATAGAGAACAGATAAAAGTAAATACATTTTTTATTATTAGCTGATGATCTGACGTTCTTCTTCAAATGTTCTCACACGGAAGAACGCAATAATGAACTGGAAGATTAGAGGAAAAATAATGAAACTAATCAAAGCGTAGCGTTCACGTCACGTCGGTGATAAACGACCGCTGGAAACTCACTGCAGCCACTTACACAGGATTAGTCTGATAATTATAATGCATCATGGGAGAGCAGCGATGTAATTGTTGGCATCTCTAACTGGACGCTAACGTTACGCTAGGACATAAACTGGTCTGAATTACAAGAGGGAATGGATTTGATTCAGTTTACGGCGAGAAAGATATTCAGAAAAACATCCTCGTCAGAACGAATCAGTTGGAATAACGAGGGGATTTGAAGTCATTTTGTTCAATTTGTGTTTGTGCTCACGGCAGACGCAGCATTTAATTAATGAAAGTCTCTATGCTAACGATGCTAAACAACAATCCTGTTTAGTGGAAAAAAGCACATAATGAGTCATCGAGAGAGAGAGAGAGAGAGAGAGAGAGAGAGAGCACCAGTTGTTGTTTGGTCTTGAACCAGTGAACCCCCTCCCCGCCCCCCCACCATGTTGGTGTAAACCATGTGATTGACAGCTTTCACCCTTGAGCTTGGACTCTTTAGAAGCACGACA